AAGTTAATAGGCAGGTAGATAGGTTGGAATTAGTTAATAGGCAAGGAGATAGATTGGAATTACTTAATAGGCAGGTAGATAGATTGGAATTACTTAATAGCTAGGTAAATAGATTGGAATTAATTAATAGGCAGGTAGATAGGTTTGAGGTGGGTTGGCAGAAAGATGGGAGGAAGGTATGTTGGTATACGGACACTTAGGTAAGTGGGTAAGAAGGAAAGAGAATATATTGTTAGGCAGTCCCATAAACATCGTGGCCCGGTGGTCTGGTGGCTAAAACTTCCGCTTCACACACGGAGGGCCCGGGTTCGATTCCCGGCGGGTGGAAATTCCGACACGTTTTCTTACACCTATTGTCCTGTTCACCTAGCAGCAAATAGGTACCTGGGTGTTAGTCGACTGGTGTGGGTCGCATCCTGGGGGACAAGATTAAGGACCCCAATGGAAATAAGTTAGACAGTCCTCGATGACGCACTGACTTTCTTGGGTTATCCTGGGTGGCTAACCCTCCGGGGTTAAAAATCCGAACGAAATCTTATCTTATCTTATCGGAATGTAGCCCATTTTTTTTCAGATTTCCCAGATGTGTCTTCTAGAGAAAAACATTGGAACATCTCGAGAAACGAGCGTCAGAAAGGGTAACTCTTCACACTCTTAAAACGTTTCAGATATTTGACACGTGATTCAGTAACTATTATGACCATTATAACATTAATAATGATGTTAATAATAGTTTACAGTTGTTACATTATTTATATTCACTACATAAGAATTTGTCTTTCCGAAGTTGTACAGAGCGAAAATAACTCGTATTAATAACATACAAATTTAATAACAACAACAACAACAATAATAATAATGATAATAATAATAATAATAATAATAATAATAATAATAATAATAATAATAATAATAATAATAATAAAAGGCCACTTCTTAGCACATATGCTGTATTCTTTTCCAGACTGAGGGACTGATTACCCCATCTTATAAGTATATGCTAATTCTTATAAGATGGTACAACATTCTTCATATTAAAATATTCCTAAAAAAAACTAATTAAATTATCCATGATCCTAAATTTTACACATTTCTCAAGCTTGTTCCCCTCTTTTCTAAGGAATTTTTAGTAATATACAAAACAATTTTTAAAGATTTTTTGGGGGGAACTGTAATGACTTAAATGTATGACTTGGTACCTTGGAGAAACTAATTCCAAAAGAAAATATCTATGCATTTAGAAAGCAAAGATATTTAGATACCGAAACAAGAAACAAAATTGTTAAGACAATGTGTTCCAGGATTTAACATTGCAATTAGTAGAGAAAATAAGTGGAACTTCTCGGATCATTCTCAAGGATAAATAAAGTCAGCTGCTAGTCTTGAAGTTATGACATCAGAGAAAGAAATATAGAGAGAGCTGATGTAGGTAACAGTTCTTAGCTTGTAGACAAAGTTAGAAGTCTTAACCCAAGCTTGTTAAACCTTGTTTAAGACAATAAGAAACGAAGAAAGGGTATCGTTATGAAGAAAGAAATGTGGTGGAAAGGTAACACGAATGATACAAGTAATGACAGACAAAGGAAAATAAAAGACACTTTCTTCAGAAGAAAGAAAAGTGAGAGAGAGATTTCACAGATGAAAGTCAACAATTATATGTAAAAACAACTCAGATATCAGAAAAGCAAAATATTGCAACTACTCTGGCAATTTCTCCAGCAAAATTTTAATATGAGATTCCTCTAGCTCACGAACCTCCTCCAGCAGGTGGACAGAGAAGTGTGGCTTGCAGCTCACTCGAGAAATCTTTCCGAAGAGAGCCAGGAACTTGCGAGGAAGATCCCTCATAGTTGGCGTGATTAATGTAAGTACGGTGTTGTCTGTGGGTGATAAATCTTAGTCATTTTCCACTTCACCAGTTTTGTTTTTGTTATTCATGATAGAAAAGTTCCATTCGCGTATATATCCTCTTCGTTTACAAAATAAAGAAAAAATACAAATGCCTGACGTGATTCACAAGGGCACAAATTCGAGCACATCTGTGTGATTTGAGGAGTTCCCATTTTCCTGTTCTCAGAAGATGCCTTCCTTCTATCCTGTATTTTGGGAATGCATTTTTTTTTGTCGAGCACATCTCTTGTTGCAAGCCTTAGCACTTTCACTAGCTTCCTTAGATGCTTGGTTAGGTGAGGGTTCCAAACTGGTGCTGCATACTCCAATATGGGCCTAACGTACACAGTGTACAGGGTCCTGAACGATACTTTATTAAGATGTCGGAATGCTGTTTTTAGGTTTGCTAGGTACCCATATGCTGCAGCAGTTATTAGGTTGATGTGCGCCTCAGGAGATGTGCCTGGTGAGGTTTGTTGTCACTGGCCCCCTAGACTGCACTCCGTCTGCAGTCTTCTTTGCCCTTCCCCAATCTTCATGACTTTGCATTTGGTGGGGTTGAACTCCAGGAGCCAGTTGCTGGACCAGGTCTGCAGCCTGTCCAGATCCCTTTGTAGTTCTGCCTGGTCCTTTGCCGATTGAATTCTTCTCATCAACTTCACATCATCTGCAAACAGGGACACTTCTGAGTCTATTCCTACCGTCATGTCGTTCACAAATACCAGAAACAGCACCGGTCTTAAGACTGACCCCTGTGGAAGCCCACTCGTTACAGGTGCCCACTCTGACACCTCGCCACGCACCATGACTCTTTGTTGTCCTCCTGACAAGTATTCCCTGATCCATTGTAGTGCCTTCCCTGTTATCCCTGCTTGGTCCTCCAGCTTTTGCATTAATCTCTTGTGTGGAACCGTTAAACGCCTTCTTACAGTCCAAGAAAACGCAATCCACCCACCTCTCTCTCTCTCTTCTCTTACTGCTGTCACACTGTCATAGAACTGAAGTAGGTTTGTGACACAGGATTTCCCGTCTCTGAGCTCGTGCTGGCTATCGTTGATAAGCTCGTTCCTTTCTAGGTGCTCCACCACTCTTCTCCTGATAATCTTCTCCATGACTTTGAATACTATACATGTCAGTGACACAGGTCTGTAGTTTAATGCTTCGTGTCTGTCTCCTTATTTAAAAATTGGGACTACATTTGCTGTCTTCCGTACCTCAGGTAGTCGCTCTGTTTCGATAGATGTGTTGAAGATTGTTGTACTCACCTATTTGTACTCACCTATTTGTGGTTGCAGGGGTCGAGTCACAGCTCCTGGCCCCGCCTCTTCGCTGATTGCTACTAGGTCCTCTCTCTCCCTGCCCCATGAGCTCTATCATACCTCGCCTTAAAACTATGTATGGTTCCTGCCTCCACTACATCACTTTCTAGGCTATTCCATGGCCTGACTACTCTATGACTGAAGAAATACTTAGTGTGTATGTGTGTATGTGTGTGTGTGTGTGTGTGTGTGTGTGTGTGTGTGTGTCTGTATGTAGTGGTTGCAGAACTATTGTTACATCTCTTGCATCCCGCCTTTAGCAAATATATCTCAGCTTAATTTCTGTTTAATATTCTTATCATCAAGCAATATACACTCAGTGGGTGCTTTATTAGATAGACTGTACACGTGCTCATTAACGCAAATATCTACTCAGCCAATCACGTGGTAGCGACTTAATGCCTATAAAAGCATGAGACGTGACTAAGAGGTTCAGTTGTTGTTCAGAGTAGACATCAGAAAGGGGAAGAAATGTGATCAATGTGACTTCGACCTTGGAATAATCATTGGTGCCAGACGGGATGGTGTGAGTATAAAAACCTGCTGATCTGGAGCATTCGCACAAAGCAATCTTTAGAGTTTTCAGAGAATATTGAGGCGGAATTCCGGTGTTGTACCTAGGTGTTACTGAGGTTATTGTCCCTACATGCATTAATGTGTTCATTGAAACGCGCTAGGAGATTTCTTGCTGTGTCTCATACATATATTCTGTGGCAGCCTCCACAGGGTATAGTGTAAACCCCTGCATTGACTGGTTCATGGTGCTTCGATTTTGTCCTGGTTAGATCCCATATAGTGACTCTAATGTTAGCTTGCACGAGTACTTCGGAAACATTCAATGCAATCTGGGTGTTCGGAAGGATTATAACTTTCTTAGAAATGGTGTTAGTGCGTCATTTGAGTTACTCTTGTATCCTTTTACCTAACGTATAACAGTAGTCTGGCAATACTGTTCGTGTCAGTTATTTCAGACAATAATATTGTATCTCACTGTTATAAGCCCACACTTATTATCTTTATGTGTTAATACTGAAAGCCTTTGATGTTTATGTGTACGATGTAACTAAGGTTATAATTGCTATAAAACATTTTAGCTAATATTAACAAAGATAAACATCAGTAAGTCATCCAATCAGGTTTCTTGTGTTTCAGAAACCTCGGGTTTTACAGATCAAAGAATTGACCAACTCTTCCTCTTCCATCAACTTCTCTTCTCCCTCCTCCACCATCAACTCTTCGACTAACTCCCCCTCCACCATCTCCTCATCTAACAACCTTACTAACTCCTCCCATTCGTTTTCTTCTTCCTCGTACACAATGCATGGTTACTCCTACGACATCCTAGTTATTCTCCAAGAGCACCATAACTTCAGTATTATCCCCACGATATATACACACTGGGGATCACCTGATGAGAATGGGTCCTGGGACGGCGTCATCGGAGCACTACACCAGAAGGTACTCTTTCTTATCTGACTGTTTTTAACGCGGGGTTAGAAACCGCGATCAGAGTCTCAGAACTCCAGATCGACGCGTTAGCCACTGGGCCAGCTAGCTGGGTTAGCTGGTTTTGAGACTTTCTGATCGCGGGTTCTAACCCCGCCCGTGGTATGGTTTGTTTGCAGTCGAGTCATTACGATTTTGTGAGTCAAGTTAAAATTGTTGTTAACTGTTAACTTTGATGAAAAATTGCATTAAAACTACGATATATACAAGTAAGGCATTATAGGGCATCCGAGAATATTCATAACTAAAATATGATTTAACAATGTTTTCCCCCGTTTAGATTAACAACTTATTACGAGTATGTAACAGGGTTCCCATTAATTAACAACAGTCATCTGGAGTGAATGGAGACAAATGGTTTTTAATACTTGACGTGCTGTTGGAGTGTGAGCAAAGTAACATTTACGAAGGGATTCAGGGAAACCGGCAGGCCGGACTTGAGTCCTGGAGATGGGAAGTACAGTGCCTGCACTCTGAAGGAGGGGTGTTAATGTTGCAGTTTAAAAACTGTAGTGTAAAACACCCTTCTGGCAGGACAGTGATGGAGTGAATGATGGTGAAAGTTTTTCTTTTTCGGGGAACCCTGCCTTGGTGGGAATCGGCCAGTGTGTTAATAATAAAAAAAAATCGAGAAACTCACTTCATTTTTGCTTTCTGCTGCGGTCCTTCCTGAAGAAATAAATTTTTGCCAGTAAAAGAACGTTTCCCCTCAATGACATTAGTTTTTTACCAATGGAATGCAAAATTTTCTCATATAAGTATTTAATAAACTAAATACTTGTGCAACACTGGTATATTTACTGTGGAAACGTATCGCCATCTAGTGTCTTCCTCACTCCAGTACAGAGAAGATTGGTGGTAATGAGTCCCTCATCCTGGAGTAGATGAGATGAGTTCAGAAATCTTGATAAACGTACAGTATATAAGCGACAAAGTCGCTTATATACTGCAGACACAGCTACTTCTTGGAATGTTGATACAAGGAATTGTAAATTTGCCTAATCTATAGGCCTGACCTATAGATTAGTGTCACCGTGGATTTTTCCACGGTGACACTTCCACCGACTGCTGTACCTCACCTGTCTGGAGTATATAAGCCTCTTCTCTGCACATTTGGTGTACTTTTATCAAGACTGATGGACTGATCACATCGACTTCAGGCTGAGGGATTGATTACTTCGAACTCCTTCTGATCTTCTAACATTCTTCTTTGGACTGAGGAAGCCACTGGCTGACCAATCGGTTTCACAGTAAAGATAGCCAAGTGTTGCACTAGTGTCTAAGTCATCAACGTGTCGGTTGTCTGAACCATTCATCTACAAGTATTTTTTTACTGTATTTTTTTTCTGCACAGAACGAATATTTTTTTTTTTTCAAAAGAAGACAATGATTGCTATATCTTATTACTATTAATAATTAAAACTGTTGTGTTGCAGGAAATTGACTTCAGCCCAATGGACTTCACACCAACCATGGAGAGCCGTGAGGTAATATTTGCTATCTTTTTCTTCTCTTCTCTTCATCTCCCTTCTTTTCTTCTTCTTCACCATCTTCTTCATTGTATTCTTATTATTATTAATTTTCTGGTTTCTTAATGAATTACATTGCGTATCGACTACCCGGGGATTATTAACGATGTATGCAACAACGTCAAAAATGCCTTCAACCCTGCAACAGAGGTTGTAGTAAAATCAACTCTAAGAATCACCGTCTGGTTGAATCCTCCCTTATACACAACTTTCCTTGTTTGAATCTTAGTCGTGGCTTCGTCTCTGTAGATACCTTCCTCTCCCACTACATTATTAAATGCTCCAAACTTCGATTTTCCTCTTTCCTCTTTCTCCTTGGGTTGTCTTTCTTCTGCCGTGGATATTTGGTGCTTCATTACATCTCCCCCCACCTCTGTGTTCTTGCGCCTACCCTCTGTGGGCCCCTAGCTCCCTTGTGGGCCCCTAGTTCCCTTGTGGACCCCTAGTTTCCTTGTGGGCCCCTAGTTCCCTTGTGAGCCCCTAGCTCCTTTGTGGGCCCCTAGCTCCCTTGTGGGCCCCTAGCTCCCTTGTGGGTCCCTAGCTCCCTTGTGGGCCCCTAGCTCCCTTGTGGGCCCCTAGCTCCCTTGTGTGCCCTTAGCTTCCTTGTGGGCCCCTAGCTTCCTTGTGGGTCCCTAGCTCCCTTGTGGGCCCCTAGCTCCCTTGTGGGCCCCTAGCTCCCTTGTGGGCCCCTAGCTCCCTTGGAGTGCTCCTCATAGTATTTGACTGACTCCACCACCACCATTACCACCTCCACTACTACCACCACTACCACCTCCTGGCCTATATATACTCCCTCCTTCTCTTCTTTTCGTTAGTGTGACTTTGTAAAAGGTCCAAGTCGGACCGGAACGTTGTCGTAAGCTCCTCTCTTCCATGTGCGGGTTATCTGTGTATTTTATACTCTCAGTGACATACACATCATGGTAAAGCACATGGAATAGGAGGAGAAATTTTTTCCTGGATAGAGGCATGGTTGACAAATAGGCAGCAGAGAGTTTGCATAAAAATGGGGAGAAATCAAGTAGGGGAAGCGTCCACTAGCGGTGTTCCACAGGTCAGGTTTGCCCCCTGCTGTTCACAATCTACAAAAACGACCTAGATAGAGGGCATAAAGAGCGACATATCGGCAAGTTTGCCGATGACAAACCAAAATAGCCGTCGAATTCATTCTGACGCGACCTTACGAGCACTCCAGGTGAAGATTTGAAAAAGACTGATGAGTGGTCGGAGAAGTGGGCAGATGCAGTATAATATAACAAAATGCAAAAGATCTAAATGTTGGACAGGACATATAACCATGCCACATAAAAACTAAATAATGTAAGACATTAATATTTACGGATTGCGAAGAGATTTAGGAGTTCCTGGTAGCAGTAATCTGAAACCAAGACAACCGAGCATAAGTGTTCGCAATAAAGCTAACAGAAACCTTGGCATCATATCAAGAAGCAAAAATCTAGGAGTCCTCATGTTGTTCTTCAACTCTATTACATCCATGGTTATAGGCTCATTTAAGAATTATGCTGCACAGTATTTGGTCACCGAATTACAGAATGGATAAAAATTCCTCTGGAAATAGTACAAAGGAGGATACAAAGATGATCCCATGTACAGAAACCTCCCTATAAGGATAGAACTAAGGGCCCTGAAGACTGCACTCTCTAGAAGACGTAGAATTCGGGGGTGATATGATTGAGGTTTATAAGTGGAAGACAGGAATAAATAAAGGGATGTAACTAGTGAGCTGAAAAATATCTAGCCAAGAACAGGGACTCGCCAGCAATGGTTATTAATTGGAAAAATTCAATTGCATAGGGATAAAGGAAAGTACTGGTTTGGAAAAAGATTTGTGGATGATGGAACAAACTCCCAAGTACCGATATAAGAGGCCAGACCGTTGGTGTAGCTTTAAAAAAATGGTTGGATAAATACATGAGTAGATGTGGGTGGGTTTGAGTTAGACCTGATAGCTTGTGGCTAACAGGTCGGTTGCCCCGTGTTCCTACCTCCCTTAAGTCCAATGTGGACCTGACCTGAACTAGGTTGGGTGCATTAGCTTAGCCGGTAGGGACTTGGACCTGCCTCGCATGGCCAGAAGCCTTCTGCAGTGTTCCTTCGTTCTTATGTTCTTAATTGTTCTTCTATTGTTCATTATGTTCTTATGTAGCCATCTTTTATTAATTATTTTTAACTAAAAATGTTATATTTCTTGTTTTAATTAAAAACTGATTTTTTTCATAAAAACAATTTTTTTAATCCTTATACAAATACAAAAGAAGCAAAATCAGTATTTATAAAAAATAATAAATTTCACAATGGTGTAAAATAGAGGAAAAAATACACACTCGATACCATGCCCATCTCTTCTAAGGCAGGGTAGGTGCCTCGAGCCAGAGCTTCCAGCTCGCAAGATAATCATTCCCCTTATCCCCCTGGGGGGGGGATGGCAGGCCAGGGTGGCCTAGCTTGCGTGCTAGTCCTTGGGACGTTGGTCCCAAAGATGAGAGGTACTTGTGCCACCACCCGTGGGGAGACTTGGGTCTCAGACACTCCCAAGAGAGGGAGCCAGGCCGGGCCACCACTTGGAAAGGCCCGGGCCGTGGGATAAATACCGCCGAATCTTTAATAATTAAAAAAAATTCACAGAAATTAAATAAATGAAATATATATATAAATATGTATATATATATATATAAATAAATATATATATATATAATATATATATATATATATATATATTTGACTCATACATATATAATACTTAAGCAGACTACATCATAAAGAAATAATACGTTCATACAATATGCATACACACAAATTTGTATATTTGCATCCTTAGCAACATAACAAATGTAACTTTGCAAATATCTACATGTTTTGCCCGCATAAAGCTATTTTATCACAGTTTACAACTATTGGTTTTCAGTGTTTTGGTGTAGAGGCGCCGGGCGTTTGAAATACATTAAAATCGAAATATTATTAATTATATTTATATTTATACAATATATTACTCCCTCTCACTCTCTCTCTCTTCTCTCTCTCTCACTCTCTCGCATGGTGATCGACTTTGCTTGAATGGTTTTAAGTGAAATCCTGTATATTACGTCGGCTTCTGCACAGCCTCAGCCTCGGCCTTCCATCCCTGCTGCAGATCTTCACCCCCACCCGTTAATCAGTAAGGCAAGATAACACAGACAGGCCAGAGAGGGACGAATGACTGTAAAAGTGGATAGAGAAGAGAGACAGAGACATAGAGAGGAGAGAGAGAGAGAGAGGAGAGAGAGAGGAAGAGAGAGAGAGAGAGAGAGAGAGAGAGAAAACATAAACAGAAGATGGTAAGAGAAACGGGGTGAGAGCCGTTAGATGAAGACGACTGACAGTGAAAAACTCTAAAAAATCATTTTCAGACTTGCTGGCTCATTGTGTGGGTGTTGGTGTGGGTGTTTGGTGTGGGGTGTTAGTGTGGGTGTTTGGTGTGGGTGATTGTGTGGGGTTGGAGTGGTGCGTTGGTGGTGGGTGAATGGTGAGGGATATGATGTGGGTGTTGACGTGGGAGATCGAGAGGATGTTGATTGTGGGTGTTGGAGTGGGTGCTGGTGTGGGTGATGTTGTGGTGTTGATGTAGGGTGTGGTTGTGGGTGTTGGGTGTGTGAGTATTGTGAGGGTGTGATGTAGGTGTGGTTGTCTGTGTTTGGTGTGTGAGTGTTGGTGTGTGTGATGGTGTGAGTCCTTGTGATTTTATCAATTCAATTCCAAGATAATCTGAAGGTGTGAAACTAGAGACAGTAAGAAGATGAGGTAAACATCCCCTCAGCCTGGAAACACTTGCACACACCTTATTAAGATGAATCAGAGACTGAAGACTAGTGTTGAACACTGGCTTCCAGGGTTGAGGTAACAATTCCCTAAATCTTTCTCTGTTTTCTGTGAAGAGGTTCCTGCCAGGCTAGGGACAACCTTCTCATCTTGTACAGTATCAAGTTTCACTGCCTTTTAAATTCCCTCTGTATTGGATTATTACAAAAGCACTAGTTGGTGGAACTTCCCTCAAATACGATACCATGGGTTGCAAACGTCTTAATTTTGTTCGGTATTCCTGTAACCGGATTGAAATAATCCTGAGTCGGGTGCAGGTGTGGGTTCCCGTATGGGTCCTTGCCTGGGATGCTGTCGTTTGTGTTAATGTGAGTTCACGTGAGGTTTATTGTTGGGGTGCATCTCTGTGCGTTTGTAAAGCTTTCAGGGTATGGGAATGAGGTTTGGATGCTGATGAATACTCGTAGTCCCTGGTTTTGGTGTGGGTATTGGTTTAATGAGTACAAGTGTGAGTTTTGGTGTTTTTTGGTAATGTGGATTCAAGTGTGTGGTGCAGGTAATGGGTGCTGGTGTGGTTGCTTGGGTCGTGTTTTCAAGTGTTGTGTGGGTGGCAGGTGTGTGTGCTGTGTAGGTGCATGTGTCGGGGAACCACGTGATTCTTTCTGTTGGTACGCCAAGTGTTTGTATGGGTCAGGTGTTGTTGTAATGTGTTTGTGTGGTGCATGTAGTGTGTGTTGTGTGACCAGTTTCATAGTAAATCACAATGGTCAACACGTAGTATCTGTATTCCGAAACGCTTTCGCATCACTCCTGGTGCCTCCTCATTCTGCGTCTGAAGAAGCCTACTTGAGGAGCGAAACGTTTCCGGAATAGACAAACGTAACTATTGCAGGTGTGGTCATAATTATCACCCTTGAAGCAACAGCACAGGTTATCCTCTACAGTTGTTGCCGAGTTGTTCAGGCTCATTGTGATTATCTCTCCGGCGGGCCCGTAGCTTGCTCCTTGCTGATGTCTGGCAACAGCACCGTATGTTCCCCTCCAAGTCTTCACCGTCAGCAAAATTATTCTCCACGCTCCATATTAAGTCATCTCAAGTGAAGCCCTCATTGTCTCACAATGTCTTCTCCCAGTGTTACTAATTGTTTCTCATTGACTACTAGTCTTATTTATTGTGTCCCAGTATTATTAGTTCTTATTATCTCTCAGTCTCTCCCAGTGTTCCTCTTACTGTCCTTCTCCAAATATTCTCTTATGTCCATCTTCTGAGTTTACTTTAATCTCTACTTGTTTTCAGTGTCTCGCACTGTTTTCTTGTCACTGCGATCTCTCACAACATTTTTTCTGATTGTTTACGATATTTCCAGGCAAATTGTTTTCATATTGTGTCTCACCTTCACCATGTTCACTTAGTTGTTTAATCACTGTTAATAATATTAAACACTCAGTGTTCTCTTTAATTGCTTCACATTGTGCTTCAAGTTTCTCTTAGTGTTTGTCAGAGTGAATAGGTGTTCTTTCTTTTGTTGTCTATGCATATGCCGTGTTTATCTATTATCTCCTCATATCCTCCCAGTGATTGCTTACTGATCTTAATGAAGGATCCCCTGGTGCATCACTATCTACCCAGTATACACAGGTGTCTCCCAAGGCTACACAGAATTAAAGACCTTCTCTTAAAGTGTCTCAGATGATTGTCCATTGGTCTGACTTCAGTCCTCTCTGTGTCCAACACTTATTGTATCATTGAATCTTTATATCTCTCAGTGTCTTCAAGCTTCTCTTAATGTCCTTAGGCATCTTTAGAGATTTCAGCACCTCTCGTTTTTTGTGTGATATGTAGCGTCTTTTAGATTTAAGAGGCACATAAGTACCCCCGTCTTCTAATAACATGTTCATTTTTTCCATTATATTCTACCTTGTCCATAATTACTATCGCGTTTTCTTTGTCTGTTTCGTAGGTGGAAGTTATCCAGGATCTTACCTAATTCATGGTAAAACTTAACAGATATCTTTGGATGACAAAAGTTTTTGTAAAGTCTTAGCAAAGCTTAGACCTCTCCCATACTTGTCCCTCGTTACACTTCTGTCTCTTACTACAAACCTGTCTCTCTCCACACTCGTGTCCCTCACTACACACCTGTCTCTCACTACACACCTGTCCCTCACATGCACGAGCCACTCACTACACACCTGGGGTTCAAGGCAAGATGAGCGGAAGCTTCCCGAGTTGTGAAGTGTGGCGATTGTACTACATGATCTTCGTCCACGTGTATCTATGTCCTGGACTCCATCTACCCAAAGCAGCGTCCACTGCATTCAATCAATCGCTATACCCAGGTGAGAGAGAGACAAGAGTATACCACTGTCAGTATTTAGAAGCCGTATTTTATCTGGAATATTAGCAGTCCAGACCTCAGGTCAATGAAACTGTCCTCAGGTAATTATTAATTATCCATGACGCTCACACGACTTACCACATCAAATGTCAATATTAACGAGCTGATCACAACATAAGTTTCATTAAGTCGTACATTAAGTTCATAATTTCATAAGTTATCCGCTATGATGGTAGGGCGAAATGACAGATAGTTTGTAGGTGATTAGTAATTGGTAGAATAAAAGAACTGTTGAGTATACTTCCCAGGGATGTCATGTTTATAGAGGGCCCAACAGATATATCCATCACTTTCTAGTAGTAGCTACAACTGAGAGTAAAAGGAAGATGGGATACACGGAGAATATAAGCATCAGGGAAGAGAGAGGTTAAGGTTAAACTAAAAGAGGAGGCAGTTATGGTAAGATATAAACAGCCAATTAGGAGATAGATGGGCTAATGAGAGTCAAAAGCAATGGGGTCGAAGAGTAATGGGGTAGTAATAAAAATGTAGTGTTAAGTGTTCAGCAGAAGTTTGTGGATACAGGAAAGGGGTAGCATGGAAGGGAAGAGGAGAGATTGGTGGAATGATAGATGTAATAAGATAGTAGTACGGGAGAAAAAATAAGTAACATATGATAGATTTTCAACAAAGTCGAAGTAATGCACAAGGAGGGAAGAGTATCTGGAGAAAAAGAGAGAGGTTAAGAATTGTGAATGAAATGAAAAAAAGAAGCAAATGAGAGAGGGTGAGATATTATCAACAAATTATGTTGAAAATAAGAAAAAGTTAGATGAGATAAAACAAGGTTAAGAAAGCCTAGAGAACAAATTGGATTGTCAGTTAAAAATAGAGAGGAGAGTTTATTAAAATGGAGAGTTAGAGGTATTGGGAAGATGGGAGGGAATAATTTGATGATTGTTAAATGTTTGATAAATAGGGAAGGCTGTGATTCGTGATAGGCAAGGAGGAACAACCACTTGTAGGAAATGCAAGGAATAGCCAGTTGTGATGTGGAGGGAATTCGTGAGGAGTATGTAAAATGAAAGGGGTAGGCAGCCGGGATATGATTGGATACAAAATAGAAATGTTAGAAAGCAGTGGGGATATAGTTTTGGAGTGTTGTGCAATTATTTAATACATGTATGGAAGAGGGTAAGGTACCTAGGGATATGGCAAGAGCATGCATAGTTCCTTTGTAAAAGGCAAAGGGGATAAAAGAGAGTGGCAAAAATTATAGGGGGGATAAGCCTGATGAGAATACCAGGTAAAGTGTATGGTAGAGTAATTTGAAAGAATATAAGAGTAAGACGGAAATAGGATAAGCAGATAACAAGGAGCCTTTAGTAAAGGTAGGGGGTGTGTGACCAGGGTGTTTACAGTGAAACATAATAAGTGGAAAAACATTAATTAGAAAAGCTAAAGAGTCTTTGGTGAGCATATATGGATTTTGGAAAAGGACGTATGACAGGTGTGATAGGGGGGCAATGATGGCAATGATGCAAGTGTATGAGTGTCTGGAGGTAGGTTACTGACAGCAGTGAAGATTTTTTACGTAGGACATTGAGGCTCAAGTATAGAGTATGTAGGAAAAGAGGGAAATATTTATTCCCCAGTAGAAGTTAGGGCCTTAGCAAGGATGTTATGACACGTGGATGTTAAATATATATTAAGATGGGTTGTAAGGAAGTAAATGCGGGTTCTTGGCAAGAGTGCGTTGGAGTTAAAAGATAAAGAATCACACACAAAGTGGGAGTTGTCACAGCTGCTCTTTGCTGATGACACTGTGCTCTTGGGAGAATCCGACGAGAACAGCAGAGATTGTGGAAAATTTGGTAGGGTGTGTCAAAAGAAGAAAATTAAAGGAGAATACAGGAAAGAGTAAGGTTATGAGGATAACAAAAAGATTAGGTGATGAAAGAATGAATATCAAATTGGAGGGAGAGGTATAAGGAGGAGGTGAAACGTATTCAATATTTGGGAGTGGACGTGGTCAGCGGATGGGTCTAAGAAAGATGAGGTGAATCATAGAATATGCTAGGGGAAGAGAGAAGTGGTGCCACTAGGAGATCTGTGGAGACAAAGAACTTTGACCTTGGAGGCAAAGAGGGGAATGTATGAGAGTATAGTTTTACCACGCTCTGAATGGGTGGAAGCAGGGTAGATGAATGTTGCAGCGAGGATAAGGCTGGAGGCAGTGGAGATAGTCCATGTCGAGGGCAATGTGTGAGTGAATATCAAAGCAGAGAATTCGTAGTTTGGAAGTTAGTAGGAGGTGCTGGAATCTAACCAAAACTCTGTTGATCCAGAGGGCATGAGGAAGGGTTAGTTGAGGTGGTTCGGACATGTAGAGAAATGGAGCGAAACAGAAAGACTTCAAGAGTGTATCCGTCTGTAGTGGGAAGGAAGGCGGGGTAGGGGTCAGCTAGGAAGGGTTGGAGGGAGGGGGTAAAGGAGTTTTTGTGTGCGAGGGTCATGGACTTCCAGCAGCATGCGATAGCGTGAAATGAAAGGATGAAAGGAGACACAAGGTTTTATTAATACTTATGTACGTCTGTTTGAGTGTGAGCAAAGTAACATTTATGAAGGGATTCAGGGAAAACCGGCAAGGCCGGACTTGAATCCCTGGAGAAGGAGTACAGTGCCTGCACTCTGAAGGAGGGGAGTTAAATGTTGTCAGTTTAAAAAACTGTAGAGATAAAGCACCCTCTGCAAGACAGTGATGGAGTAGAATGAAGGTGAAAGATTTTCTTTTTCGGGCCACCCTGCCTTGGTGGGAATCGGCCAGTGTGATAATGAAAAAAAAAAATAAAATAAGTTCATTAACACTGTCCTCCGAAAATTATCTCTATCCTCAGGTGATAAATACTGTACTCTGGCTTTTATCAATTAATATTCTCTCAAGAGATCATTAATACTGTTCCCTGAGGAAGAACATGTCCCCCCCCCCCCCCCTATCATAAAATTAACACTGCCATGAACATTGTCATCAGGCCATTAACGTTGTTCTCAGATTATGAACATTAAAACAGTTATTAAGCTTATTATCAAATCCTTAACACAGGTATTAACACTGTTCTGAAACCATGAACACCGTCCTTTGATCATTTTCACAGATATTAACACTGTCATGTTAATTATTTTTTATTTTCATATTGGTTATAAGAAACCTTACAAAAGATTACAAGGTATGCATAATCCAGTACAGGAATACCAAACATTCTTGTAGCACAAGACCAAGGTTATTCCCTGCTGGAACAAGTATTATAACACTTGTTATAAGCGAACAAATCACGCTGAGCAAACTCACTATGTAATAAACATCATTAAATAGTGTCCGCCAAGCCGATTGTACCCAACGACAACACACCAAAAAAGAAACTTTATCAAGTATTAAACAATATAAATGAATACCTGCCATGTCCTTACCACAACAAAAACATACAAATGTACAACAACACAGATTACTAAAGTATGAAAAATATTCATACACACTTAAACCATAACCACCTTTAACATACAATATAATGTACACACAAAAGTCAGTAAAGTAACAAGACCCTAACCAAAAGCTATCAATAACTACAAAAACAAGACAAAACTCTAACATATCCCGCTATGACAGGGTACAAGAGTATTGGTTAATTATGTTACATTATAACCTAACCAATAGGAATACGCAGAACGTATGATTCCATAATGCACAATAGAGAAACATATTTTACAATTATTAAAAGTTAACCCCTCTAAATACAATAATTCTCTACAGAAAACAGAACAAAATAAATTAAATACAATAATAAAATAACCTAAAACAAGTATTTTCAAAACACACCTCGGCACATAAAGGGTTTAAACCCAAACCCTTACCATAATTTTTTTTTATTTTTTTTTATTTTTTTATTTTTTTTTAAATAAAAAACAGAGCAAAAACAATAATAATAGTATAAAATTAAAATCCAAATACTAGATATTTACAAAACCACTAGCACACAATCCCCGGTACATTTTATAAAGAACACCATAGAACAAGGCCATATTAGCAACCATATACATAACCCACAACCATTACATAACCTATAAACCCCTCCTTTTATAATAATCATTATTGCCCGTGCAGACACAGCTGACACTTCTACCCCACCCCCCCGTATGCACAGTCCCCCGTTCTAAATAACATACATTGAATATATCCTAATGACAGGCATACCCTGACCTCATCAAAACCTAAAAATTGTAGTGCATGAACAAGACAAACACAAATTTACAGACCTAAAACAGATATGAAACATTACATTCCTATACACCTACACTGTAATAAGTAGAAGAATATACACCACCAATATAATATCAATTATTAATGTTAACCATGAAATACAAACATTCCAAAATTGCAATATCGTGAAGTTCACAACTCAAAAAACAAGAAACTACACCACATGCCACTAGCGGTATAAACAAACTAGGCTATTAAAATATATTAAAGACCCCGAGACAAAAAAAAAGACTAGAGTAGTTATAAGGATAAGGCCTGCTGTAATGTGGCCTGTCCCAAAAAGAACTGACACGAATCTCAGAAAAAATTTGATGTTGATACAACGAGGCCAATCAAATAACTTAAACACGAGTCCTAAGGCTCGGTAATCCTTCTAGGTCGTATAAGTAAATTTTAAACCCATGTGAACCATAACCATCAGGCTTAGAAATGTAACCCTGGAACCACACTTATATCTCACAATGACAAACATTCACTGTGAAACAAGGCGTACAATCCAAACCTAATACACACTAACTTCCCTCTTACCACAACAATCCGATCCAGATAAACCAAAACAACCAAAACCCCCCCCCCCCTTTACATCCCCCCCATAAGGAGACCCACCCATTTGTCCATCCTCAGGGACCCCGTCCTAAGGGAACCCACATGAGATTCCATAAACCTTCCGGGAAACATTTTTTTTTCCCAAGACGGCGCCCCATAAACCACTTATTCCTACACTTCGTCCATAAGAAATCTCTTGCCGCCAACGCATTTATCCTCATATCACCCCTAATCCCTCAT